TAGCTTTTGTTGTATGCACGATTCATTCTTTTCGGCGCAGTAGTGTATCGAGGTCTAACCAGGTATATTCAAGTACGTTTCGATGTTTCTAAGATCATGGGTATAAGACTCGTAGGAAGCCGATGCTGCCAAATGTAGGTATGCTGTACGCCGGCGACAGCATTTTGCGGCGGTGCCAAGACATCTAGCGCATACGCGAGGGCAACGAGCGCACGGACTTCGGAACGCGTGACGCGACAGTGCCGCCACCTCTCCACGATTGCCTCGCAGACATCGACTTCACCGTTTAACCTACGCCCAAAACTAGACGACATGTCTGCATTGATGCGATTCTTCCCAAGCAAACATTATTGTCGCAACGCATCAATGCCACGAGACGCGGATCTCTGTAATTCCGTTCGCGTCCGTGGCGCATCCTCGACGGGTAAAGGCTAGGCCTCCAATACGCCAAAGACCCCATCTCGCTCTATTTCGCTCTAACAGCTCAGGCAGCATGAAGTTGCCTGCGCTAGCGCATCAATAACTTGACCGTCTTGCGGTATGGTTATACACCTTCATTCGTATAAAGTAATGAGGATTCATGCTCCTGTACGGCGCACACCCAATACAGCGCTCATCAATTCACGACTCCCCACTCGCTCAAACACAACAATGACTGGGACTTCTGGCAAACCCATGAACGAATATCCTGGATTCGGACTACCTCTTCGCAATTGGGAATGGAGCAACTACAGCTTCTATCCGATCGGCTCCCACCACAATGCCTATGGAAGCGAATCAGAGATCATCCCTGTGCGAGAGCTTGCCGTGATGGATGTTCTGGAAAAGCTCACCGATAAGCCCGACTGGCACAAGAAGGTCTTTGATGATGAAATTGTTGCCAAGTGGCGTAATGAGGCCCTCGCCATCCCTGACCAACACTTTTGGCACCTGGCTACCGCTGCGAAGAGCCAGTATTGGACCCACGACGATGACCGGCTCGAGCTTCATGACGACAGGCAGTCTTGCATACTCGAGAATATCTTGGATGAAGGTACATTCGATACCGTACGTTACTATTGCTTTTAAATAGTCTTCATCACTAACGCTATGCAGTGTGTTCAAGAGCTTCGCAGCAAAGCCAAATATTTCGAACAATCGGGCATCATACCTTCTCTCGACGCAAGCGCTTCCGTAGCCAAGTCTGACACGCTCGTTACAAGCGAGCTACACGCCAAGCTTCGCAAAGCTTTTGACCAGCTCAAGTCGGACCACGCTGCATCTCCTGATTGGCATCCCAACTCGAATAGTATGGTGCAGGATCTGGTACACCCGTCTATGTACCCATTGGTATATGGGCGCAGTTCTGGCTTTCGTGAGGAGCAGGTTGGTGTGACGGACGCTGTAAAGCGCTGGGCTGGCAAGGGCGAGGTCGTCCCCCAGCAGGGGCTCGAAACGACTACAGCGCAAAACCGACATGATTATAGCGTTGGAGGCAGCAGCATCCCGCCGGAGTACTGGTCCAATCAATACCAATGGTTGCCGGCCAATGTGGCTTTCCAGGATGATGGGTCTGTCAAGTTTACCAGCTACATCAACAATCTTCACCCTACGAGATATCCCGACATATATCGTACCATCGAAAAGCTGGTCGAAACATCCATACCCATGTGGGATCAGTGTTTGCGGTTTGCAGTCGGCTATCACAAGTTCGAAGGGGCCGGTCGTATGGAAACTCGCACCGGTAAACCCGAGAATCCTGAGTAAGTCAAAGTAATGTCTTCGAATTTTGCAGCTGCTAATGTCTCGTTGCGTAGTGACGAGAACGAAGAGAATTGGACGCCCAATAAAGAAGAGTGTGGTGATGTGGAAGCCAGCGAAGAAGACCTGGAGGAAGAAGGGTACGAGGACTACTACGACAACGATGAGGATCGCCAAGAAGGGTTACTGGAGGCCAAGTGGAAGATCGTCCGCAAACCTCGTATCATGCCAATTCCCTTCAACGACGTATCCTACGCACCGCAACCAGGCAAGCGTCTTGCTGATAGATTTCGCGATACGGGACTTCAGATCATTGTCAAGATGGCCTCGATTGAACTCACGCCCGAGAAGCCGGACTTTCCTGTGGGTGGATGGCACATCGAGGGGCAGATGAACGAAAACATCTGCGCAACTGCCCTGTACTACCTGGACAGTGATAACATCACTGACAACAGCCTCTCATTCCGCATGCAGACGTCTGCTTACCTACAGGATGACGAGGGTTTCGACGTTGGACAAGACTGTTATCACTGGATGGAGCACGTGTACGGCACTGGCTTTGGGTGTGGGAATTCGCCATGTTTGCAGAATTACGGGAACGTACAAACGCGTGAGGGTCGGCTGCTAGCTTTCTCCAATGTCTTGTAAGTCGGTCAAGATTCTGTTCGGACACTGCCTTGGGCTAACGTATGTTAGTCAACATCGTGTTTCTCCTTTTAGTCTCATCGATCCTACAAAGCCCGGCCATCGTCGCTTTATTGCACTTTGGCTTGTCGATCCGACGAAGCGCATCATCTCTACAGCGAATATTCCGCCTCAACAAATGGACTGGTACGTCGACTCGCTACTTGGACCAAGCGACAAGACGCGTCAAGAAGCGCTGTCGAAGCTTCCCCCAGACCTCATCAACCTGCTAGCTGAGAAGGGACTCGCAAGTCCTTCTGCCACTACGGAAGGTCTACTGCCTGAAGAGCTCATGGCCTACGTGCGCGAATACTTCGAAGAAGCCAAGCACTCCCTTCCTATGGGTTTTCAAGAGGCAAGTGAGCATCGCAAAAAGCTTATGCAGGAAAGGGGAGCGTTTGTCCAGACCGCAGAGCAAGGGTGGCAGAGGGCGACTTACAGCTTCTGTGAGCATTGAGACGCTGGCAGAACTTGATGAGAACTCGGTTATTGGCAACTTGCGAGTGGAACGAAGCAGCATGACAATGTAAAGCATCAGCCCTGGAGTTGCAGACTGTTGTATGACCGATCACGTTTGTAGTCCGCTGATATAGAATTACTACTACCCATAGCTTCCCTGCCTAACGCCTCTTGGAACGACAACTTTGCGAGAGCCTTCCACGTCGCAACAACATCTGTTCAACGTCGCTTCGACGCTTCACTGCTAGGCGCCATGCTCCGAAGTGTCAAAGGCACCTTGCCTTCCGTATCATTCCAATGCAACTCATACAGGCCGTTCTCAGCCTTCATGCCGTAGAATGACGTGGCAACCGTACCATCTTCGCCATACAACATCACCGTGGAACCGTAGAAAGCGAAACCCGAAGTTTGTGTCGTGGTGTTGCCAGTGCCGTTGTTGGGTGGGAGAAAGCCCACGCGCCTGTCGACCGATGATGACGAAGGAATGAAGAGAGCTGTGTTTGACCAGGTGGGTTCACCGGTAGCCGTGGTAGCGTTGGGGTTTCCAATGAAGTGTTTGTTGGCATCGATTGTGACTATGTCTGTTAGTTGGGATGAACTTGGGTACGCGATGGCTTGAAGAAGCCGAACTTACAGGTTACGACAGCAGCATCGGTACTGTTGGCAAGAGCAGGCTCTCCGAGGTATGCAAGACCATCGGCATAAAAGAGTGGCAAGCCGCCAATGTCTTCACTGTATGCATACAGCTGGAAGGGCGTGGAAGCGACATCACGCTTGCGGGCACCAAAGACCGCAAGCGGAAGCAGAGCTAAAAGTACGCTGCGCATGGTGGCATACATGATGAAAGAGTGGACGTAGAGGGATATGAAAAGAGCGTCAGAAATGCAGCAAGAGTGTGAAGTGTGGTGGTAACAGCTAACAATCAGCAGTCCCAATGTCCTTATTACACTCAATACATCGGCCGAGTCAGTCTCTATCTCTACAGTCCCCTGAGCGACTCAGATGCATTACGACGTCTCCACGTATATTCATGACGCCTCGAGTGAAAACCATATCTCTTGGTATACTACATTGGGAGGTCTCCGAAGGGCTACAAGGACCCGCTCTCGTACAGTGCAAACTGCGCTATCAAGGGTTGCATGCTGCCTGATTTCACTTGTTTCAATATTGAGGCGGAACGTCCCCTCAGCCACTCAAAGCACAGATGCGATACGTAGTGCGAGTCGGAGCGGGGCTTATTTTTGGCACTGCCAAGCTCAAGCTAGAGAATGCTTGTCGTCTCCACTGTCGCGTATCTCTCTAGGTACCGATCGAACCGTTCAAACGCAGATTCTACCCGTTTTTCGGTGGATATTCGAAGAGTTTGTCTATTCGACTTCATGTACCTCACTCCACTGAGTACCTGGTACAACCCAGCAACAACGGCGCGCCGACCTGTCATCATGGACGGCCCTTCCGCGGCGCTTCCTTCCTCCGATTCCGAGTCAGCAAACTCCGACAATGCGCGAAGATTTCTCAACAATCGATAATGCCATGGGCAGATGCGGCGGAATGGCACCGATCGAGTGGGGGCTCACCTGATGCTCGAATAGACTTTGCGCATACTACTCAGTAACCCCACGCCGTTTTTAGATGCACAATACCGCTAGCAGATCACCGAGCAGCCGGTGTACCTACGCCAAGTAATGCCCTATAGGGGCGTTCGAAGTTTGGAGTAGGGATCAGGGTAGACCTGACCCACGATAAACAATGAGACTATCAACGGAGGCTCACGAAAGAAGAGTACGAGCGAAAGTTTCGATTTTATCATGACGTCCTTGAGTCGTTGTAGACAGCACAGGTGATGCCCCTAATAGATCTCTCGGATAAGACAGGCTATGAAGGTAGGATGCAAGGGCGATATAAAGGAAGTGAAGACTTGTTGTTGTGGAAAACCATCAGCTTGTCTTTACATTCGTTTGACTGAGCTCAGATCACTCTTTGGGTGTTCGTTTCTGGAGTCGTTCGTGTCTTGTCACTCGCTTTAGACCTCACTTCCGCTCGTTACACGGTCATTGCTCGTTGTCTCCATACATCAATTTCTCCCGAGTACCAAATACCTTTCAGGTATTCACATCATGTTGTTGCGAGGCGCTTTCGGTCTTGCAGCCTTGACTGGCTTTGCAGCCTCTTCGCCTTTCGTTACGAACTTGAGTAGGCTGCACCTCGTTCTCATGCAGAGGCAACGATAGCTAAACCATTTCTAGTGCCGAGAAGAGCATGCGATGGCAACACTGCCTCTACCCGCTCGGAGTGGTGCGACCACTCCATCGACACCGACGCGTCCGTCGAGATCCCAGACACTGGCGTGACGCGCGAGTACTGGCTCGAACTCACCGATGTTGTTGTAGCACCTGATGGCGTATCTCGAACAGCGATGGCCATCAATGGCTCGATACCCGGACCGACGCTCATCGCAGACTGGGGCGACATGGTCGTTGTTCATGTGACCAATTCCCTTACGACATCTATGAACGGCACGAGCATACACTTTCACGGTCTTTGGCAGAAGAACACCAACGATCAGGACGGTGTGAGCTCCATTACGCAATGCCCAACGGCACCAGGAGAGTCAATGACTTACACCTGGAGGGCTACCCAGCACGGGTCGACTTGGTATCACTCGCATTTCGCCCTGCAGGCTTGGCAGGGCGTCTTTGGCGGCATTGTCATCAATGGACCTGCCACGGCAAACTACGACGAGGACTTGGGTATGCTCTTCCTCAACGACTGGGATCACCAGACGGTTGATGAGCTTTACCTATCCGCCGAAATGGACGGCCCGCCAGTTCTCGACAACGGCTTGATCAACGGTACCAACACATTTGGAGACGGCGGCCACCGTTACAATGTCTCCTTCACAGCCGGCACTTCTTACCGTATTCGCCTCGTTAACGCCGCTGTCGACACCCACTGGAAGTTCATGATCGACAACCACACAATGACTGTCATTGCATCCGATCTTGTACCTATCGAACCTTATGAAGCCACTATTGTCAGCATCGGTATGGGTCAACGATACGACGTCATTGTAACAGCTGATCAGGGAGACGTGGCCGACAACTTCTGGATGCGTGCCATTCCGCAGTCCGCATGCTCTGAGAACGACAACGAGGACGACATCCGCGGTATAGTCTACTATGGTGACTCAGCTGGAACGCCGACCACCTCCGCATATGACTACGAAGACAGCTGCTCCGATGAGACCAAGAACCTCGTACCGCATATCCCCAAGACCGTCGGGGCAACATCGTCCACAGCCGATGAGCCTGTCTCTGTCGGCCGCAACGACGAGAACGTGTTCAAATGGGCCCTGAACAGCACTTCCATGGTCGTATACTGGGATGACCCTACGCTTATGCAAGTCATGCGAGAAGAGAGGACATTCGAGGCCTCCAACGCCGTCTTCCACCTACCGCGCGAGAACGAGTTCGTCTACGTAGTCATCAGCACCAACATCGGAGTACCCCATCCCATTCATTTGCACGGCCATGACTTCTTCGTCATCGCTCAGGGTACAGGAGAGTACACCGACGACGTTGCTCTTAAGCTAGACAACCCGCCGCGCCGTGATACCGCGATGCTGCCAGCATCGGGCTACCTTGTCATCGCTTTCGAGACTGATAACCCAGGCGCGTGGCTGATGCACTGCCACATCGTACGTAACCCTCTTTATTTGTACCCGTATCACTTTACTAACATCCATACAGGGCTGGCACACATCCGAGGGCTTCGCGATGCAGTTCGTTGAGCAGTACGACAAGATCGCGGGCATAACCGACAAGGATGCGTTGGAGAGCCAGTGTGATAGCTGGAAGGCTCATAGCGGGTCCGTTGGTATCCTGCAAGATGACTCTGGTGTATGAGGCGTAGTGTCATCTTGTCACGTGGTTACCCTAGAGTCCCCGGGCTCACCTTCCATGCGAGACTAGCTTTTTCACACTTATAATACACAAAAGATCCATCCAGTATCTCACACTCTTGATGCATGCCCGCGTGTACTAGTGACGGCGTTCTTGACCTCCGTTTCGCTTCCATCCATCATCGCCTGCGCCATCATTCCATGCGAGGTTGGCCCCCGCTTAAACGCCGAAACTGTGTCATGACCGCACCTGCATATAGTCGACTATCATATGCTGGTGGCTTTCGCGCTCGCGGTATTGTTTAATCTAATTGAAGCATTCGATCTACAGCGGGAAGCGCGTGCCTGCAATATCTTGTGGCACAAGCTCTCGAACATACGTCATCCGTCATCAGCCGAACTTCATCGCCTCAGCCCCGCGCTGCCGTCTTACCAACATCCCCATCACCACGAAGCGACTCTGAATTCGGTAGCGACCTGCCGCAAAGCAGCATCTCTCGTGTCGCCTCGGATCATTGTGCGACGCCATTTCTGCCACATGCTGCCCCATCATGGCGACCCCAACTGATAAGTACGTAGACGTGCATCCCAACTCTGGTCATCTCATGTTTCATAGGGCTTCCTTTGACTATGCCTCTTTGTCACTTGTTAGGATGCTGGGGCCGCTGTACTACCACTAAACTCCACTCATGCTGCATCACCTTGCCGACGACATTATGGCCTCGTGTCGAGATCTGGCCCCTTCTATGAACCACCGCCCGCTGTGTCTAACATTACGGTGCCGCAACTTTCCGCCCCGATTATCGAAGCATCTATAGGCCGATCAAACAGCTCCATGGATATGTGCGCCTGCCCCGGAACTGGCACAGTTGATGGTCTCCGTAACGGCCTACCCGCACTCCAATGGAGTCTTGCATGGTTGAGAATTACACCAGATGTAAACTCCATGGCATGCCATGTGTGAATAGTTGCACGACAGACGTTTCGGTTCAAGACATTAGGCCCTGGTGAACTCACGCCACTCAACAGCATGAGGGCGCTGGTTGCATCATTACGCAAATTCGGACCCAAAACCCAAGTCCCAAGTCGCTGGGGCTGAAGAGACATCTGACTTTGAGTATTAAGAGATGTGACTATCTTCAGTATGACTGAACTACATCGCCATTACTTGCACCATTTCTTATACCATTCATCCAAGAATCCGACATCACTTCCTATCTTTTCTTTTACTTCCCCGAATCTCTTCTCGCGTGACCACAATGCGCATTCTTTATCTATGCCTTCTGCTCTGAACCGTGCAAGCATTTGTTCCGTCGTATCTAGCTGACCCCACGACTAGAGACACTCAAAATAATGCTGGGTTTGAGCGAAGGGAAGACATCTCTCCCGTCGAGCAACGAACCGACACCTCCACAACTCCCGCACTGGCTAGCGACCACTTACCTCGACACGAGCCGCAAGATCACAGTAGCACTGCCGTTGATGGCAACGTAGACGATAGTGCTAGCCACGAAGCTCCACGGAATACGCAAGAACACACTATCTCCCGTCGAGACGTCAAGGACTGGATAGCTCTGGCAAAAGCCGGTGTGGACATCAAGCAGTACCATGACTTCTTAAAATCCAAGGTGGCGGATGGTGGCTGGATATATCAGATTGGACCTGATGACAAGATACTTGGATACGGGAATGTGACCCTGACTGAAGAGGCAAGACTTGAGGTAGAGAATCACGAAGATACTTTCGGTATGTTGGAGGACCTTCCCATACGATCTCTACGGGCTCTACCATCCGAATTTTCGTCTTCCGTAACGCGCGAAGGACCCGAAGTCGTCGAGCGAAGAGAAAAGCTTGTGCCGAGAGATTTGAAGTGGATGATCCAGGATACCGCAGACGAAGCCCTCGTGGTGGACAGTCAATATGAGTACGTATGATATATCACCACATGTTCTATCAGCTAACTAATTGTGTACCAATTAGAGGCATGGACATAAGTACACATGTCGATTTTGTGTACCCCGAGCATCCAGGCGAGGATGTATCCGTCTATTTGATTGACTTGGGCATTCAGATCAAGGTTATCAACGTAAGTTTGAGTCCAACTGCTTTGCATCGCTAACTGTTTCGTTGCAGAAGGATGAAGAACGAGAATTCAAGACAGACAACGACCGCGTTCTCCAGTCCAGCTCATCTATTGCAGCGGGTCAAAGTCCTGAAACAGATGACAATGTTGAAAAGCCATCACACGGGACTCGAGTCGCCTCGAAAGCTGTGGGCAAGAAATATGGACTCGCGAAAGAGGTATGTTTTCGCCAAAGTATGGCTTCGTCATATTCACTTGGTATTCCAAGGTTGGGTCTTGGGCTTCTTTGTCGCAGGACTCATCGATCTGCTGTCGATCATACATGCGAAACAGTCGGCTGACATCGCGCGAACTCTTCTAGGCGTCCTTGGTTTCAACAAAGCTCTATCCAAAGACCGGCGACTGGGAAAACGGCATGTGGCTGATCCTGAGAGACATCAAAGCCCACGAAGGGCGAGCTTCTCGAAGTGTCGTGATCACGTCTTTGGCCATCGGCCAAGGCGGAATCACACCCGAGGCAGCTAAGAATGACGAGAGGATGCAGCTACTCTACGGAAACGATCTGCGCGAGCTTTCCAAACTTGGTGTACCTTTTGTGATGGCCGCAGGTAACGATGCCGAGAAACAGAATCGTGGAGATGTTGATCAGATTCCAATGGTTCTCCAAGATGACGATATTCCACTGATCATCGTCGGAGCTTCAGACTGGGAGGGCAAGCGAGCCGCTTTCTCACAAGGTGGTCCACTCGTCACGATCTATGCGCCGGGCGTCGACATCGAATGCCAGAACAAGGAGGACAAGATAAAGGCAACTGCAAGTGGCACCTCGCTAGGTGAGTAGACCTCCTCTGCAGGTTCGCACTCGAAACTGACAGGTGACTTCAATGTAGCTGCACCTCAGGTAGCAGGTCTCATAGCCACATACTTGTCCTATTCAAACAAGCCTTGGGACGATACCAAGACTGGTGTGGAGCGCGTCAAAGCTATCCGAGACTATGTGACCAGTGACAAATCGAGTTGGGAACGGGCTTCTGGCAGCGGTATCCGTGTAATCTGGAACGGGGCAGATGAGGCCGCTCATGGGCACGACGACGACGACGACGACGAAAGCCCGAACGACTCTGATCCACCTCCATCGAGCCCTCCACCTCCGTCCAAACCATCTCGCAAGAACAAAGCACTTTCAATCATTTTCCAAAGGTATTTTGATGGGGTCTGGACCGACAACTCCTGGTTGTTCTTCCAGAGCGATTACGGCAAGTCTTCCGTATGTCGCGATGAAAAGCACGCTTTGAGGAAGGAAGAACCAGTAGGAGACGATTACGACATGGTCAAGAACCCTCCCTGGCCTGGAGGTACGTACGAGATGAACGACCTCATCGACGGCGTCGAATGCGACTATCTCAACGATGGAACCAATCCTGGATCTCTTTGGTGTCAAGATTGGGATGCGCCATTTCCGAAGGACTCCGAAGGCCCTTTGCCCAAGCACCTAGAGATCAAGTGCAAAGAGGAGGAGGCGAGATGGAAGAGTGAGGCTGAGAGTTGTTCGCTTGGTCCGGAATTAAACATGGACCATCATGCAGTTGTTACGTGTGACTGGTAGCTATCGCCAACGATGCGGTAGAGAGATGCTAAACAGCTTTTCTCGGGATTTCTTTCGCTGAGTTGTTTGGTTCGGTCTCATCCTCCTCGGTACTTGGTCGTCAGATGCGCTCGCTATTATTTACGACATCTATTAGCTCTACGTTCTTTATGAGTACAACACGTACGTCAAAGCGTTGTTTGTGTGCCGATAAGCCCAGAAACTTCGAGATCAGCTTCCTATTCACATACACCTTTGGAATGAGTATGGTAAGCCGGTGCAAAGAAAACCACATTACGCCGTCAGTGAAATCCACTGGGTATCTTCGTACGCGTGGCTGCTCCGTTCAGCGCGATTCTGTGAGAAGGTGACGCGTGTGCACGGCTCTCAGAGCTGGGTCCACAGAACGCCCGTGTAATCTCCATAGTAAATCCGTGGTATCTCCGCTCATCAATGCGACCACGATCGTCATTCTTCAGTGAGATGCAAGCCAGCATCCTCGATGATTGGGCGGCCACAGAGGAAGCTGCAAAGACGAACATCTGCGGGTCCGCGCTGCTCCATAAGTGAAAGCTCCGCGATACGCAGATGGCATAATCGATGCCGCACAGTACAACAGATTAGGCCATCAACGATTGACACCATACCGAAGATGTGTTCGAGATTTGCGAAGGAAAGATTGGCGAAAGGCCTGAAAACGCACTTAGCGGTTCGCGGCCTGTGAAAAAATGGGGACAACAAAGTGTTGAGTCATGCAGCTCGTAACAAACTCACAGTGGTGGGTCATGAGAGCGAAAGGGGTGATTGAGTAAAACTTTGTTCATTTTTCTTTTTGCTGCTATGCCCAACTTCGAAGGATTCATGCAGGTCGGGTGCTATGTAGATCATCGAGATCAAACCCTCAGACTCGCTACGTTTTGCGCCAAGAAGTCATGGGTATCACCCCTAAAGTCGTCATCAAGGTAGCTGTTCCTGTTCGCACCAAAGTTGATCAGCTTCCTGCCCTCGCTCCACTTCGGCCAGTCCATAAAAGTGTTGCCCTCATTAGGGTCCAAGTTGTAGACGAATGAGTAGTAGTAGCCTCTAATGGTCTTCGCGGCATTGTTGGGCAAGATGCCATTGAAGACTTGCAGGATGTCGGAGCCATGGAACGTTCCTAGAATGGGTGTGCCGAAATTGTATGTCGCGAGATAGGACCAGGATGGTACATCGGGGGCGACTTGACCAGTGACCTCCAAGAAGAGGCGACGTGTGAGGGTGAAGGTAACGTCGCCGAGAATAGCGGAGACACGCTTGAATTGCGGGTAGAAGTTGTTGAGCAGGCCGGTGCGGAAGGGCGAGCCGTCCTCGGTGATAGTTTGGTAGCTGCCTACTAGCTGTTCGACTTGTGCTGGTGAAGCATTTTGAAAGAAGATGGTTGAGAGATAGGTCGTTACTTCTTTGGTCGTAGTCAAATTCGAAGTGAAGAGACCAAAGAGAGTGCCCTCATCTTCTTGGTCACCAACGATGAAGGGTACCTTGGTGTACTTTCCAGCTTTGACAAGGGCATCGGGAGAATCCGAGAGGGCCTTTCCATCGGGGCGAGGCAGATAGGAAAGATTGACCGTGAAGTAGCCTAAGATACCCGGGACAGTATTGGCGGCATTGAGGAACTTGGTGTACGGTACTGTGCGGAGACACGCCAAGGTATCTGCAGAGCTGGCACATCCAGCTGCTTCAACGACCTGCAAGGAGTTAGCATTATGCTTAGCAGCAACGAGTAGGATTGAACACGTACCCTGTCGTAGATAGCTTGACCTTTGGGGCAGTCAACGGGATCAGCTGGAACTATCGAACCCGAGTTCATGATGCCAGCTCTGAACAGCGGCTTGCCATTGTAGTTATTGTCGCCGTCGTAGAGCATCATCTGATCCAACACGGAGATAGCACCTGCAGACTCTCCCCAGATCGTGACCTTCTCAGGGTCTCCACCAAATGCGGCAATGTTGTCAGCCACCCATTCCAAGCCCAATCGTTGGTCTAGTAGCCCTAGATTGGCGGAGCCATCGTCTAGTACCTCTTTCCCGGGCATGAAGCCAAATCCGCCCACGCGATAGTTGACTGCCACAAATACGATGGGCTTGCCTTGAGCAACTGATTCGGCGACAAGGCTTGTGCCATCGTACATTGCAGTAGATCCAAGTTCGAAACCGCCACCGAAGATCCAGAATAGTACCGGAAGTTTGTCGCCAGCTTCAGTGCCGGCTGGGCGCTGTACATTGATAGTGAGGCAGTCCTCTCCAGCATTTGTGATGGTCTGAAGAAGTGGTAGGTTCAGGATAGTGCCTAGGACATTGGTGGGAATGTTTCTCTCATCTATGCTGAAGAAGAACTGTGGGCATGCTTTTGGAATACCGGTTCCATCGACCTTTCCGAGAGAGGACGTTATGGGCTGAGGTGGCTTTAGTCGTAGCTGATCGATCGGAGGCTGTGCGTAGGGGATGCCTTTGAAGGACTCGACACCCAATACGTTGATGCCAGCAACCGTAGCTTGAGGTGAGGGAGCAATGACGGTGGGGTTTGCTCGTTTTTCCAGGGGTGCTGGGACTGCCAGAGCCAAAGGAAGCAACGAAAGAAGTATCGACAGCTTCATAGTGAGTAGTTGTGCGTTCGACTCGTGGTAGTGGAATCAAACGAAGTTTTTGCTTCTGGTGATTGCCTCTACAATCGCTGTGCAACGCACGATACTTAACTTGCCCGGTAGAACAGATGTCACAAGCCAGGGACTATGCTTCAAGACGAGCCTCGGACAACGTCGAAGTCTACTGCGGTCCGGACGAAGAGTAACTTAAAAAGATTCGTCGTAAGCTCGAAGGTCGCCGTGGCTGCAGATACACCCATGCTTCAATAGCATCCTCCCGGAATTTTGGGTTGCAGATCGCTCTCGTTTTGATGGAAGTGGGGTCTGACAGCCTTGTGAGGTGACACGGTGCATGAAGAACATCGTGCGCTGACCTATCCGAACTCGCAGTCCTGAGCGTCAGCCAGGGGAAAGAGCCACAATAGGCTTGGATCGTTGGTGGGTAGCTTCCGGCGCGTATTGTCTAGGCAGCTGGTCATGAGGTGTCGGCGCATCTAGCGGACGAGTAGTAATCCAGAGTTCATGGTTTTGCGCCACATCAGTCTTTACAAAAGCCGTTCTCGAAACTCTTTTTGCTTGCGCTTTCGACACAACGCGACTAACCTAGATACACCGACTATGAGATGTGTAGTGGAGGGACGTGCAAGGTAGGATATCGACGCCAAGAGTGGCATTGACTGCCGGACCGCAAACGGATGCATTCTCCCGGCCTGTGGGTGGGTGTACCGACTGAATCGCCATCGTTGTTGACATGCTCGGAAACCAGCCATAAACTGCGTTGGCTTGTATTCTGATGACGGAGATGTTACCTTTCAAGGGGCAACTACTTCGCCCCGCGTGGACAAAATGCGGGGTATCCACGATGGGTCTCCCCACGATCTCGGCGGATCCATCGCTCGATATATTGGTCTTCAGCGCCTTGCTTGCGGGCAAGGCTGACGCCTCGGTAGTAGAGAGACGCCACAAACTTACGCAAACTCAAATTGCATGTGAGAGGATTTTAGGAGGTTGCGAGAACTCAGCGCACCGCGCCAACCCCTACGTGCACTCCGATGGCTGATGGATGTGGAGCCGGTAACGGTAGTGATGCTAGCGGAGCGTATTCATCCGTATCGAAAGCTTTGAAGAATCTTGGAATGGAAGTTACCGTTCATTTGATATGTACTTTGAGCGCGCTCGATGAGGTCGTGTGAGGAAGGCAGAATAGGCTGCTATGACGTGGCCACACGCCCCAACAAAATTGTAGGGTCGCATGCAAAAAAACATTGGGAGAGGAGCATGCTCTCAAATTACTCAACAATGCGAGTGCGCGTGTTGGGAGTCGCATCCGTGTGCAAAGCTCAGGTGGGAGGCGCGCGAGGGTACCTACCCTCAGATTTCCGTCTCAGCCCTGGGGGGCAGTGCGGGATTACTAAGCGTTGTCTCCGACCTTGTCCCGGAACACCTGTACTTCAATAACCACGACTGTCGGCTTTTGCTATGAGCGATCTGAACTTGCGACCAAATCGATATAAATAGGCCGGTACTTATTTTTCAGTCACACACAACACGTAATTAGCATCAAAACAGCCACTAGGACTGTTTCATCATTTTGGCCTCATCGCCATCTCTAGCAACCCACTCATCTACAAGATAGCGGAGGAACACGACAATCTCAAACTGCGGCGATGGAGCATACCTGCTTCCGATGTCTGAGCTACGTATACGGTATCAAGAATGAGCGCTGCCACTGTCTTTCTTGGTAGCTATCTGCTGAGGCGACACATGGTACTTCGTTACGGACGCAAACTTCTTGTTGGGTAACTTCTTGGCACATCTCTGGCTATACTTTTGTCTCCATATCGAGATACATTCAAGATTTGATGTCGAACAGAGCGAAGTAATGGTCCCACGAGGGATGGTACAAGCAACCAGCGCTTACATGCATCCGATATTACGCGGTGGTAGGTGTCACTGTGCGTGCTTACGTGCGTAAGTAATTTCCCGGTTACCGGGGGCCTGAAGGATAGGTTCAGATATCCCTAGCGAATTCTTCTGCGCGAATGTCTCGGCCGCATCATCTCCAATGTCGTATTTCAACATCGAGGTTGAGCCCATTCGCTATAACAGCCGATGTATTAGTTTTACCGAGTGGGTCTCGTTGTTCACTTTGTGTCTTGCCCCATTGATCGCGGTAAGTTTAACCTGGACTATATTGCTGTATGAAGACAGAGTACTGATGGAAGTCGTGCTTTAGCACATCGTATCCGGCACACCTACAATAACGTATCTGACCGATCGACGCCCTAGGTGGTACGATCGGCTGTGCAGCTATAACCCGACATCTATAATCTGGAGATACGCCGCGATAGCCGATCGGCGCATTCGCGCTGTCCAGTGGAGTCGTCATGATTTAGCAGCC